ATTCTAAGTTTTATTTGTATTGAAGCTTCAGGTTTGAACTTAATTATTCAACTTAAATATAATGGTTAAAAGCTACTTGGTAAATCTAATACAATTATATGGCTAACCAAATGCTTTTCAACATCCAGTCGCACTGAGCATTCTTCAACAAACTCTAATTTCTGAACATTATTATGGTATTTGTAAGCATCCATAAAGGATAAATTTTATCCCATTGAAGCATGAGGACTCTGAATAATAGTGAATCTCATAACCAGCAGCTTAAGCAAGCATCTTTCTGTCTGCAGGTCATCATCAGACATTTGCTTTGTTTTTTCAACAGTTATATCATGTACTTTGTTGTCAAATGTGCTTTTTGTTTTCCCTCTGTTGATGAAAAATGGGGGTGGAATGGAAGATAGAACACGGGAATCATTAACTGTGCCCAGCCTGCAATCACAATCAATTTACGCCTGATTCTAAGGGCCCTCAGAACATTTCCTCCACATGCTACCCTACACCATGGGACACAAGATGAGTTGCAGATCTTTATGATAAACCCAAGTCAGGACACTAATCATCAGTACCACATCATGCCATAAGAAGAAAAAAGACATGAAGGACACAAAGTCTTACATTCATGCAACAGTAACAAAATTAAATGACTTAGCACTGTTCCTGGTCTTTGACTGATTGCAGCTTACTGAAGCAGAAAAATAATAAACAGAAAACAACAAATGACATTTCAGGCACTTACATAAAGCCTTTCTCTTACTGAGGTACAGATGCATTCTGAATAGTAGTAGGTTAAAACTGTTTGTGCAGGTAAAAATGTGAAGAAAGTGTTCATGAATATGCCTGAACTGGAAACCATCAGAATCAAAATTCTGATTAATATTCAGGTACAATTTTTGCAGTTTTGATTACCTTTAGTTAGCAGCTTAACATTTTGCATGTAGTTCTGTGCTCCACAATATAAAAAATATATTAAGATACTCTAAAGTGTCCAGAGGAGGGCAACAAAGCTTGTAAAAGGGCTAGAAGTTATGTCCTATGAGAATAGGCTGAGGACATTTGGTTGTCTCATCTGGAGAAGAGGAAGCTGAGAGGTGACCTCATAGATCTCTGCAACCTCCTGAGGAGGGGAAGCACAGAGGGAGGTGTCAGTCTCTGCTCCTGGTCACCAATGGCAGGACAGGTGGGATTGGCAAAAAGCTGCATCAAGGAAAGTTCAGACTGGACAAGAGGAAAAATGTCATTATTATGAGGGTGGTCAAAAACTGGAACAGGCTTCCTAGGAAGGTGGTTGATGCCCCGTGCTTGTCAGTGTTCAAGAGGTGTTTTGACAATGCCCCCAGTGATATTCTTTATCTTTTTATTAGCTCTAAAGAGGTCAGGCAGTCAGACTAGATGATCTCTGTAGGCTCCTTCTAATTGAACTATTATATTCTATAGTGGTACCACAGAATGCACAAAAACACTGTATTTATTTCTCCTTGTTTAAAAGCTGTAAAATTATAATATTAACAGAAATATGTGTTAGATCCCCTTTCTTTATATGCAGCAGAAATGCAAATCACACTGAAAAGACAGCAGATAACAAAAATTGCAAATAATTCTGGAAGAAAATCAGGCTCATGGAGAGCTAGGAGATGCTCCAAATAAATATGCTTGCAGATCCTATATTTTATCCCCTAATGTATATGCATTATAATACAGTCTTTAACGGCTGTTTACATATTCCCTCCCCAGAAGACCTCCCATTCCATGCACAGTGTGGCAGACTTCATAAAGGGAGAGTTACTTCACATTTTGCTTAATATTTGTTACATAAATTATTTACTGCCCACTGCAGATAAAGCACTGAACACAGAGTTATCAGTTTTCTCACTATAGCTCTATTGAGGAGAGCTGGCATATCCATCTGATACCTTTATTCAAGAATTCTTCCAGAGTAGGAACCAATCCTCTAGGGTACAACAGACAAATTATATCTATTGCACATATTACACACTTTTCTATCTATAGCATACTAATTGTAGTCTACTTCAGGTGTAGAAATGATCTTGTCAAGTGCCTTTGCATAAGTACTGGAGAAAAAAAAAATGTATTACTACAGGATGCTGCTGTGAATTTGTGCAATATGATGGGTAGATAGTCTTTTAGTCATTCAGGGGTACAAAATCATGAGCCTTGCAAAGAGAAAGAAAAAAAGGAACTTAGGTATCGCCACCTAATTTGAAAGGCTTCCTGACTGTAAAGGAAGCCTTTACAGTCTGTTAAGTCTATTTAGCCTATGTGCACGAAGCCCATTCCCTAATATAAGGATTTTTTTTTTTTGTGAATTACCTGAAACAATATTTGGAGGGGACGGGGGCGGAATGGTTCTGAGACCACAGAACAGAATCTGCATTTCCTTTGATTCAAACAAGTGCTGTAAAAAGTAGGTTATCAAAACTATATTCATTTCAGAGCTTTCTTCCCATCTTAGCAAACTTACTATTGTGGTTTTTATTTTTTATTTTATTTTTTTTATTAAAAACAATATATTTGATTTTTATTTGTTTGTTTTTGGCTTTGTTTTGTTTTGCTTTTTTTTTTTTTCTTTTCTTTCAACTGCTACTGACTTTTAATGAGAAAAATGAAACATTCCCATTTAATCTACTGTTTCCACCTTCCCTTCCTACCCCTGCAATAGTTTTGTGGTTAGAGCAAGAGGTAAAAGATACTGATTTGGTTCACTACCAGCAATTATCAGAAGCAGAGACCTCAACTGACCTTGCTGCCTGGGAAAATTTTCTATTAGCTTAAAAATATATATAAAAAGCACCACTAGTTTTCTTTCAGGAAAGAACTGGATACTCTGTACTCTCTTTAAAAGAGAGTTTAACAGGTGTCTGCCTTCCCAAGAGAGGCAGAGGAATCTGAAACTTCCTTACTAAATATTTCCTGTAGCTGTGCAATGTCTTTGTGCTGCAGTCATCAGAGCTTCTGCACAGGTGCTGCATGGTCAGTTGACACAAGCACACCAAGCTCTCTGTTCATGAACAGATCTGGGGCATGCAGGAAATAAACAACACAGGATTTAACTGTTATTCATCAGAGTGCTCAAAATGACCACTTCTGTGGGAAATCCATTTTCCAAGAATCACTCAAAACAGAAAACAGGATGCTACCAAAGCAAAATAAAGGAGCTGACAATGTCTCAATAATGGGATAATAACCTAAATATCAGACCCCCCAAAATTGAGACATTTAACTGGAAGGTGTCCAAGTCCTTCATGAGATACTGTCCCAAAGTATGTACCCTCAAACTGTAATGCATAGCTTTTGAACACGTGAGAAGCAGGACAACTGTCTTTGTTATAAAAAGTTCTTCATTCTTTGTAAGTGCTATTAAGTAGAGAGTCTTATTATTCAAAGCATATGATATTTAGTTTTAATTTTTATACCCATGACTACACACTAATGTAACAGTTATCACTATTGATTTTTTTTTTCATTTATGTATGTTGGAAAAATATAAAAATTAAAAATCTGGTGTATTCAGATAAGGCAAGAGATAAATTGTTCAGTAGATACATAAATAAATAAATAGACCATCCACTTGGCAGTTCCTTTACCCTAATTGGTGGTGGATACAAAGTCAAAAGGATAAAGGAGTAAAGTGTGCGAATGCAAGTGGGGTCTAACAGCCAAACCATGCACTTAAAATGGATTGTTCATTTGGAATGATTGAAATTATCATCACAGGACTCTGTAAAACTACAGTGGTTTTCCTGTATTTTTATAGCATGACATACATCAAAGAAGTAACTGAGATTTCTTAGCATGCTTGTTGGGTAGGAAATTTCATCTGAAAAGCTTGTATGAATAAAAATGTTGGATTTGCCGTAACTCCTACCTCATTTAGTGTTGTCACAGAACTACATGTTCCACAATATTTTAGCAATCCCCTCCATTGCCCCCAACATAATACATATAACGTAGTGAACACTTAGGTTTTTGTTACTTTTTCCTTAAAAAAAAAAAAAAAAAAAAAAAAAGTATGTGATAGCAAAACTTCCCTTCATATTTTCTGTTTTTTGTTTGTTTGTTTGTTTTTTCCAAATTGATTAGCATCCATTGGTGTCATATTTACACTAGCTGGCATTATAGAACTCTGCAAATTGTCATGCAATTTATTGTGCTAATAGAGTTCAAACATTCTCCATTATCTTTCACTCTCCATATGCAGTTAAAGGATATTACTTGCAGGAATTTGGCTTGATAAATGTTTCATGAGTGGAAGCCAAAGTCTCCTTATCCTTCTTAACCACTAGACTATCTTTCACCAAACAAGAGTTTGTTATTCTGGCTCTCACTGGTAGGAAGGCCGCTAATCTGCTGTCCCCGGGAGGGAGCAGGGGAAGAAAAACAGCCATTCAGTTTGTGTTCTTGCTGCAACAATGTTATGAACCTTTCAAATTGCCATATGCCAAGAGAAGAAGCTCTGAGCAGCTATTCAATACTCCTCCAAAACTGATTGTAATGATGTTTAATTCTCCTCACCCCCTGTGATGCTGTTGCTACAGCAACTAACCATTCTGATCTGGTGAAGCCAAAATTGGTTTCAGAATTTAAAACATTTCAATAGCTTTTGTTTCAGTATTGCATTTTGACTTTGCACGGTTAGCAAACTGAATAAATATTTAAGCCAGAACCCTATGTGGACACAGTAAACAAGCAAATGGTAAACTTGGGTCTGACAGGAGTCTCTGTTGGTAATTAGGACATTCAGTAAAAAGCACTTTCATTCAGGAAAAGCATTTACCTAAACCCAAACACAAGTGAGCATATCTGCATATCTGGCATGTCTGCTTCATAAGAGTGGTCTAGCTGAAGACACACCTCGACACATGGAGTGACACATGGAGTATTTTCTTCCTTTGTTCTACTCTTTTTTCTTTTTTTCTCTTTTTTTTTTTTTTTTTTTTTTTACAGAAACCATCTCCTTTTTGTGCTAGAAGTCATCTTATTCCTTTTTTTTTTTTTTTTTTTTTTTTTTGAGAAATACAGTGAGAAGTGAGTAGGCTTGCTTATGCAGAGGCTTACTCGTTATTGCACACCTTTTCTCTTCTACTGCAATGCTATTGCTTACAGACTTAAAACTTGACTAACTTTTAAAGGCAACAGTAAGTATTCCCTCTGCATCCCCTGGCTTGGTCTGTAACAAGAAATATTCACTTTGAGTAGGAGTCTGCATTCCTTGTGAAGGTAACATGCTTGATAGCTTCAGTGGGAGTCTTAGCTGTAGAAAGAATTCAAGACAGAGCTTATAAATATGATGTGCAGCACTTCTGTGTGCTTCACAGGGCAGACAGAAATACAGATCTTTGCATGCACATACCAATTTTAAGAGAATGCTTGAAAGGATTATTGTGAGTTTAAACAAATTCAAAGTATGCAGTAATTGCTAAACAGTTTGTAAAATATGTCAGTATCATCCACAGGGAAAAATACTTTTTATATAAGATAAGGAGGGAAGGAGGGAGAGGAACTGCACAGTAATGAAACGTCTAACTTTGTGAGACAATGCACCCCTGTTGGAAGATTTCAGTAGATCATAAAGAGCCTCACGAACAACACAGTATATAGCAGTCACATGTATAAGGTGCCTGACCACCTTTAATAAGCATAGTTACTCATCTGTATGTTCTGGTAATATTAAAAAATTGAAATATGACTCTTGAAGACAAATGAATTTTATCCTTCAGGAGTTTCAAACTGAGACAGTGGAGACAACTGTTTTTTGTATCCTTTGCATTTACATAAAATTTCATATTGATAAAAACAACAACAACACACTAGGTAAGCAGTCCTCCAGCTAAAAGAGTTGGCTCCACAAAAGAACAAAATAAACATTTTTAGACTGTCCCTGGCTTCATATTATGGGCCAGGAATGGAACCAGGCTCAAAAACAGCTACCACAGCCAAACTGGAACAGTTTGAAGTTTGAAGGCCTGTCGCCCTCAAACTGCAGTGCATGGTAACAGCCACTGTGCCACCTCATGTGCCTAAGGCAGAGGGAGAAGAGGTACTCCATCAACATCCCCTATACGCTTTGCGGGAAAAGCCCTGTTCTAACCAAAATGCAGTATGCAGGTGCAGGAGAGCCTAGTACAGCAAGATAAAAAGTGCTAAGAAACAGGAATGATAATGGTTTAGGAGGTGAGAGGGACTTTAGCAGAAGAAAGACTAGCATATGGCACCATTTGTGTTTGAGATGGAATTAATTTTGTTGGGTCAAGAACTGAATATGTCTCTGGAGAAGAAGATAAACTGGAGTTAAAATCATTTTGACTGAGAACAAAGCACCATTGTTTATGGAAAAAACAAACAAACAAACAAAAAAACATGGAGATCTACAAAATGGAAGTGAAGCAGCAAGCAGAAATTACTTAAAATAAGCAATTGACTGACTTTTTTGGGGGGGCGAGGAGGGCGTAGTTAAATCCATCTGCTTGGACAATGAATGACAAAATTGCAAATAGTTGCAAACACAAGAACATAAAAAGAAGTAAGGTTATTGATTTCTCTCATATTAATGATATATATATTTATATTGGGTGTTTTTTTAAACTTAAAACATGAACTAAATTTAACCTGACAACAACTCTTAAAGGGGGATGGGATGGGGAGTGGAGAAGGAATGATCAAAAGATACAATCTTAATGAATATCACCTAGAATGTTCTGGAAGATGTTGTAATTGCTTAGAAGTGGAGAGTACTTCAATCTTAGATTTGGAAGCTTACTTGCCATAATAAAACCAAAGGAACTCTTTGAACTGTCAAGTACCACCGTTCAAGCCTCTTGCAACATGTTGCATGCAATATTTATGAAAGGCCCTTTAGAACAGTCCTAAATTTCACATATGGTTTTAGCCTAAAGGCAAAGAGTGTTCTGTTGTTGCTTTTAATGTCACACTACATCACATGCAAGTTACAGGTACATATCAACATCTTGCATTGTATAATCCCACCATACTTCACTGAAATGTTAAGCTTTCAGCACTCTCGCCCACAATATGATAATTAGAGCCATTCAAGTACTAAAATTGGCACATTTCTTTTCCACAGAATATCATGGGTTATTCAGACATTTCACACCCCACCTCCTTCTACAATTTTCTAAGTAGCACTCAGATGGATATAAAAGTGAAGACGGCAAATAGTGTGTGCCAGATAAGACTGTGAAAAGCATACCTTTATCTTCAGTTCTGTTCTTCACCTGTAACACAGAACACCAGACACTTGTTTTCTCTCCTCCCTCACTTCTCCTTCCCCCACCATATGATAATGTAAGATATTCTTCTTTGATCTTTCCAAACATATTTCAAGCTCTTTTGAAGACAGTGTATATATAGTTTCTATAAACCCTTTTAAATTTTTTATATTTCTAAAAGCTTCCTAAAGTATAAAGGGCTTTTAAAATTTAATATTCACACAGCCCATCCTCTTGTGTCTATCTTCAAGAAAGCCGTGAAAACCATGCTGAGTGACCTTGTTCTTTGTGTTACCCTCCTGGAATTTCATGGTTCCCTGCATGAGCAGTCATACAAATTTAGTTAGTATGGAACACCTTGAATATTTCTTGCTAGGAGCTCTCCTTCTGGTATGGATCACTACTCTGATTTTAGGAAGAATCAAGGAAAGAATGTGTTCTTTCTATTTTTATGATTTTTTCTTCCTTCCTTCCTTTCTTTCTTTCTATATATATACATATATATATATATATGCAGCAAGCAGAAATTACTTAAAATAAGCAATTGACTGACTTTTTTGGGGGGGCGAGGAGGGCGTAGTTAAACCCATCTGCTTGGACAATGAATGACAAAATTGCATATTTATTTATATATAAATAGATATAAATAAATAAATATATTATATTTATTTATTATATTTATTTAATATATTTATTATATATATTGCATATATATATATATATAGCTTTTATGAGGTGATGAAGTGCTAACGAGTAGCTGGAATTGAAAAAATTCCAGGAAGTACTAAAAGCTTAGAGAAAATATTACAAAGAGTAATTGCAATATCCCACTCTTAGCTTCGCTACCCATTTCAGTTTGAATTATATATTTAAGTGCTTTTAGTTACACAAAACCATATATTCACAGGGATTCATGTCCTACTAAAAAAGTCAGTCTTAAAATGAAAAAAAAATAAAAAAAAATCTATGGTGGTTTTTTTTTTTTTGACATTCCCAAGGCTGGTGAACTGAGTTTAGGGAACAAATGAACTGGGAATTATACTTTTCAAAATTCAGGCAGATTCACCAATTAAAATTTTGTCATGATGCTTCAAAAATATATCAGTCATGCATGACTGTTCACAGCCCGGAATTCACAACCTACGCAGAACAGCGTAGTGATGTTACTCCCCTGCTATGCAGCTAAAGGGACAGACATATGTGAAAGTTGCAATAATCACAGTACAGGTGCATTCTGTAACATCATTACTATGTATTGATTTAGAACGAGGGAGCTACATCCAAACGAAACGTAGCTCAATGGACTTGTGTAAATGTATTTGAGATGAACGGAAACAATGGAGGCTTTCATAAATCCTGTGTTACATCTTTATATTTCATTATTCAGTAAGGATATGATATGATTAGATGATATGATATCATATCATATCATGATATGATATGATTTTGTTAACAATCATAGATGAACTATGATTGTTAACAAAATTTAATTTAAAAGTTAGAAAGAAATCACTATGCAATGAAGAAACTAATGGCTGTGATAAGAGAATGGAGGGATGATTTGCTGTTTGTCTTAAGAACACTCTATTAGGGTCATTTAGTTTTGCAGTAGAAGCACACAGAAAGCATAGAAAGATTCAACATAAAAGCAACTGTTTCTGAACAGTGCCTTCTCTATGCAATTAACTGAAATGCCACAGAAGTAAAGGGACTTTAAAAGAGAGTCTTACTTACAATCCGAGAGAAAATCATCATGCACTTTAAACAAACAAAAAGCTGAGATATATTTGCAATTTACTATTCAAAAACAGTGCGGGACATTCATTTATAGCTGTAAATAGTGCATAAACTTTAATGGGTGAACATGAGTAATAGGTAATGGAAGTGATCAGGGGTGACCATGTGCTACGCTGTTATCATGGAATGTTTCTGATACCATATGCGAAAACTAGGTAACAGTCATTTCTTATTTTCATGGGATATATCTGAAACGCTTTATGCCATACTTTTATGCCATTACTTTGCTCTTATAAATTGCTGTCAGCCTTTATGAGTCCTGACTCTCAACTCTGTACACAGATATTTTTAATGTAACTATTGCTCCATTACAAGCAGGCCACAGCAACAACAGCAATGAGGAAAGAAGAAGTGGTAGGATTTTCCTTGTCAAGCTAGGCAGCATCAGAATTGCAGGCATGAGCTCTATCTGTTAAAATAGTTTCTCTTTTGTGCTGAGAAGCCAAGCAGCATTTGTCACTAGAGTAACACAGAAACAGGAGCTGCTGCTTTGTTACTGAACATTCAAAGGTATCTATTTTATTCTTGATAGCTCTTGCAACTCACAATAAAATCAATGAAGCTTAAACAGAGCCTCAGGATTTCATTCCAAGACCAGTACCATTTCTTAACTGGCCCACAGAAGAGGTGGTTTCCATTGTGTTCATTTCTTACAACAATTCTTAATAAAGCATTTGAGTCAGTCTTGATCAAATTATAAAATTATAGACTGTATATTTTTTAAGCATATTACCCTACAAAAACTAGTAAGTAGCTATTTACAGCCATAATTATTGCTTTTTAATTAAATGCTGTCTTTGTTACACAGTATTAAGATGACCAGGACATATTTTAAGATGATTCTTTTTTGGTTGTTATTGTTATTTTATTAAAATATAAACAAAAAGAATAATATATTATTTTAAGGAAAAATAAATTTGTTTGAGTCCTGGATGAATTACCTTGCTCCATGAAGATTAGGAATTTTGTCCTTCATAAAGTTGCATAAACAAGACTGGACCCCAAGGTCTATGAAGAATAGGAAATTAAAATTAATTAGTGATATAAGAGGATATTAGAACTCCATATTTTTCCTGTTTCCCCTATTATTGATCTATACTTCCTTTTTAGGTCCAGTATAGGACCTAACATAGGTGATGAATTTAAGTAAATGTTTATTATTTACACGGTTTTGTTTTATTTTATTTTTTGTTTAGTTTTATTATTTTCTAGGCCAAATCCTGAACTAATTTTTATTTACTTGTGGCCATTTGCCATGAAAATTGAACATATTTGAAACTGCCCCAAGAGAGATACAAATAATAAACAAGCTGAGAATAGTACTGTGTAGAGGAGGGAAATAAATAATTAAACAAATAACTAAGACAGAAGAGAGAAAAGTATCTAGAGAGAAAGAAAAAAAATAATAATTCTGAACCTACCATGGGAGAAAATAAAAAGAATTCCTGTTAATTACTTATAGAAAAGAGTGAAACATGGGAAATATTCTCTTAAGATGAACAAGAACAAACGATTTTCTTCATATATCTACTCCTTAAAGGCAACATTTGCATACTTTGAGAGTCATACTGAATAATCTTGTGATCTGTTTTCTAAGTCCATGCAAATACTTTGCAAGCCTGGCAGAAATTGTTAGTAAGGATTCAGCTGGCTCTGATGTTGGCTTAGAACATTTCAGGCTTGTTCAAAACATATCAAATTCAATATTCCTAGTGGGGAAAAAAATATATATATATATACACACACACACAATAAAGCTCCTGTATACTATCAGGAGGCTTTTTGCCTAAAAAGGCAAGCAGCATTATATTTCAGGAATAATTAGGGACATGATAAATTTACATAAGTCCATTGATCAGAATATGCAATCAATACAGTCTGATATTCACAAAGTGACAGAAGAAAATTACTGGATGGAAATAGAGTAGTCAAAACTGATGCAAAGCTGGCAAAGAATGGAGCTGAAAAGGAGTACTTATAGAAGAAATACATACTATAAAAATAAAGATCTATAGAAAAGGAAAGTATATAGAATCTATAACAAAGAAAGACAGAGTGGAAAAAAATGGAAAAAGAAAAAAAAAAAAATCAACAGATGAAGCTTGTTTCCGCTTCCTCATTCTTATTTCCCAGCACTTTAGCTTGAATTTTTCAATTTTTTTTATACCCAGAGGAAAGGAACAACGTGGTACAGAGACCATGGCTTGCCCACTTGCCATGGCTTGCAGGAAGAATAGTGTTGTCAGTTGTCATGGCAAATACTCAGCATCTTTAGCAACAGCTAATTGCCAAAAATAATAGCAAAAATAATACCTGCTTGCTACCTCCTGCAACTAATCACATTCAAACTTTGGTTACAATTAAGAGTTCAAAACTTACTGACAGATGAACTGTGAGCAGATAACCGTATTTCCTTAGGAAGCTATGCTTAAAATCCCTCAGGGCACACACACATACACACACACACGAATCACTGTGCACAGGACCTTACATTGTACAGTGTGGTTGAAATGATCTTCCTCTAATGTATATAAACAATAACACATACCAAACTGGCATATGCAGAGTATAAACAAGTAAAATACTTAAGAGTTTATAATCATGGCTATTGCATTATGTAGAAATTTTGACATGGGCTTTTTAAAGATACCTGGAGCAAGAATTAAAAAATGAAAAAAACCTGTGAGAAGATGAAATATAATAACTCTGTGGGAGACAAGGAGTACTTAAGGTTATATGGCAATTAACTTTACGATTTGCCCTTTCTCTTGTTATACCTTCCATTGTGTGCCTACAATATTGGATGTTCATCTTCAAATTATGTGTCATTATAAGGATTGTATGACATTTCTCCCCAGTATGTTTCATTTTCAGTTGACAGACTGGTAAACTGAGGCAGCATGATTTGAATCTACATAAGGCTATCTCACAGACTGAGAAGGGAGCCAAACTCTTCCATCACAATTTTGTGCTATACTATGTTGCAGGCTACCTTGACCAAAAGGCTTCATTAAAAAAGTAACAAGAAAAACAAGACATTTCACATCAAGACAGCACTTAGAACATAAATGTGAGGGGGAAACAACACAGAACAGATAGGTAAACTCTTCCAAGCCAGGAAGAACTGACCTCCTTCCAACATGTTATTATCCTTTTCCAGTGCAAAGGAGCTGTTTTACCTTTGCTCTCCGTGTCCTCAGCTGGTCTTCTAGTAATAACTCTGATAATAAGCCTCTGTCTCTCTCTCTCTCTCTCTCCATAGCAAGGAAAACTCCTGTCCCCAGAAGGCTACAGTCTAAACATGCAAAAACAAAATAAAATGAAAGACAACATAAAGAGACCTCAGATATTACATTCATATCATGCACCTTTGTCCCATTATTGTATTTTCTTTTGCAGTCCATCAGGGATAATTTCTATCCCATGCTATCTGCAAATTTATTTATTTATATTATTATTATTATTATTATTAGGAAAGCTTGCCTTCCTCTTTGATGTCCTTTCAGGTATAGATGTCCAAATAGATCTTGCCTTGGAAAAAGGGAGAGTTGGCCTATATCAGTTGCTGTAATGAAGCAGAAAGAAACAAAAATGTCTGATTGAGCCCAAATGGTGGGAGGAGAGAGGATTTATCTTCCCTTGTGAAAAAGGGGTTACACTAACAAAACTCAGCAAACAAGTGCACAAACTTTTTTCAAACTACCCTTCAAAGTACAAATCAGCACCACACTTCAATCAGGAATGTATCTGTCACAAATGACATTAATGCCACTGCTTATTTCAGCTGCTCTAAAAAAAAAAAAAATAAATAAATGAATTTTTCATCTCTGGGAAAGACTAGGATTAAAGTGCTTGTGTTTTGCTTTCACTGTTACAGAATTGCAGATAAGCATTGCTGCTGAAAATTTTCTCGTGGAATAGAAACTACAAAACATTTAATTTGGAGCTATTAAAATACAGTAGTGTCAGAACATGATCATAACGAAACTTAAATAGAATCAATTACTTAAAATAAAGCGTCACCTTTTCTTCCATTGATGGGAGAATTTGCAGAAAAGCCAGCACATATGCAAACAATAGAACCTCTTATACTATTTACTCTCAGAAACGTAAGGGTAAGACCCCATGTGAATCAATTTACATGCACAAAGGGAAAACCCTGAGCATGCCCTACATTTTGAAGTGCATACTGTTACTTGCCATCTAGGTAGGCTTCCAGCAGGCATTATCATGTACTATCCATCTCTTCTGACACCTTCATGTGATCAATATGAAACAGACAAACAGTCTGAAGCCCTTCCTGTAAAGTCCCCAGCCTCTTTTCTGCAAGGGCAAGTAGGATTTTAATCTTTTTGCAAGAGCAATACTGACAGTTGGAGCTGCATCTTGGGAGCATGGTGGGGCTGTGAATCCCAGAGACATTATAGGTATATCCACTTCTACTTTGTAAGCAAACATTTGTTTACATACAATAACAGTATAGGTTTTTAAACTAACAACTAAAGAACAGTTAGCCACTCTTTCTGGAATGGTGATACTTGAAACAGGATAAGGGTAGATCAGAGAGAAACATATGCTGCATTGCAACGACCATTCCAAGAAATGTTTCACAGTGTAAACAGAACAATGCACAGTGTAATTTACCTACAGTTAATATATTTACTGGAAGAATAATGCTATGTTTCATCTTATTTTATAGGCTAGCTGTTCTCCCAAGGTATGTCACTGAATGCACACACATGCAGCACAGGAATTGCACAGCACTTCAAACATGCAGAAAAGACACCATGAGTCTGAACAGATGACATAAAAGTTCTGATAGAGATTTGGGAGAAAACAAACAAATACAGTATTTAACCTTTCACCCTTAGTGTATGGACAACCGTATCACTATTGTTGTTGACTCTGGGAAAAATACACAGCTTTCATCTCAGTCTTAGAAGTGAATCTTCAAGTACATTATTGCACTTCAAATCAATATCTCACAGTTACTAAACCTTCATATGATGTAGCTTGAAGTGGAGTAAAAAAGAGAGCAGCTTTAACAAGACTGGAAAGAAATTGTTGTGTTTAACTCTATTTTGAGCTGAATACTTTTGTAGATGCTCCCTGATGATGAACTGTCATCCTTCAGCTCATTATGCAAGGTCCAAATGTGAATCCAGAGCACGGAAATAGGAATAACATATGTGTTGAATGCTGAGATGCCATACGCACTGAGAGCCACAGGCAACCCAACTCCAGCATCAAGTTAAGAGGGAAGATTGGAGTGTAGCAGAGTAACAGCGTGATCACAAATTATACAAAACAGTGGCCACCAACACAAAGGGGTGTGTAAACTGTGGTTTCAGTTAAAAATGACTGCATATATATCTGAATGAATTGGGGGAATAGAACTTTAAAATAAATAAATAAATAGAAGAGTTCAATGCCCCTTGCTAAATGGAAAATGTCTTGAGAGAACTATTTATTCCTTTAAGTTCCATGGGAAAATAAACAAATGCAACTAACTGGAAAACATAAATTGGTTCTCAAAAGTCATCCACAACTTGAAATCACTTTTTTCTCCTTGTGAAACAGAGGACAAACATACAAGAAAAACAGAAATAACCCTACACACTGAACACATCCACTTTCAGCATTAATTTGCACTTTTTTTTTTTGTTTGTTTGTTTGTTTTTGGAGGGGGAGAAAGGGGAAGGGGAAGGAAAGGGGAAAAAAAAGAGGTTGAAAATGAGAATACATCTTATTTCCACCAAAAAAAAAAAAAATAATAATTAAGGAATTGGCAAACAGATTAAAACTTTGAATATGGAAGAACTTGTTCCTTCCACCCTAGCGCATGACTTAGCCCACATAGTATTGGATTACTTCAAGAGAATGAGTGAGTTTTTACACTTCCTTTCTGACAATATCTTCATCGTGAATGACATTGCCACAGATGGTGATATTTCTGTTTATGATCATATTTAACTAGAAAACTGATAATGTTAAAAGGCAATTGTTTGGCACAGAGACAAAATTTTAACTCAAACAGAAGATTCAGGGCATTTTGAAATGTGCTCAAGTTAATAAAAAAAAAAAAAGAGAGAGGAGAGAGAGAGAGAGAGTTGGTGGTGTTTCTTACTATCATAAGACAATTACTTTATTTCTCACAACACAATTACTTTTGCTACCTTCTGCTATGTCTCATAACACTCTTTTTTTTTGTTGTTGTTAAATTCTTGTACTGTCATTTAAATTGCAAGTAAAATACGTATACTACTTTAATTCTACTGCAGGTCTCAAGTGAGGAAAGGAAAGAGGGACAAAAGAGGAAACTCTTCTATGGAGCCATAAGGAGCTTTTGAAATAATGCTACATTTACTTGCAGAAAACCCCTCAAACCCCTGTCATTCTTCAACACCAAAGTGCATTGAGAAGTTGTCATTTCTGATTTTGTGTATGCTATATATTTGCTGCATACTTGACAGAAGCTGAGGACTACATTTGGACCTGACTACAACATCAACAATTCTGAAAATTATACTGCAAGTCTCAAAATATTTGGGTTCTTCCTAAAAAAAACTCAGCTCACTGGAACAAAGCATTTACAATAGAGTTCAATTTAAAACAAAACAAAACAAAAAAAAACGTTTCTAGTCCTTATGTTTGCAGAGGAAAAGCTTCAAGACATGATTAGAAACTAGTATAAAACTTCCAAATAAGTAACTAGAAAAAAAAAAGTCAAAAAATATTTAATATTTTTTAAAATGTTTTCTTGTGTTGAGATTTTTATCATGCCCTGCTTACTTTCAGCTCACTAGATATGTAACTACTCTTTAAATTTAGTGCAACAGCAATAGTCATTAAAAATGACTAATTTAGTTATTTGACTTCGAAGTTCTTATTTTTGTAGGGACTTTTCCATTTGGCAGAATAGTTTCCTCCAAGGTAACATCAAAGGTGTAGAAGGCATTTTCTGGGAAGAAGTCAAGTGCTAGGAGAGTCTGAAAGATACCATGTATCTTTCATCAGCCATTTTAGAATGTAGTTGTGTGCATATGTGTGTGGGGAAAGTCAATTAAATAATAGGTATTGTTGCTATTTCACAGATAAACATCTTATTCATGATGTGGGAAATGAACAATACTGCAGGCCCTCTTTAGTTATGGAAATCTGATGATGCAGAAGATGGAGGAAAAGATGCCATATATTCCATCAGCAAAAGGTACCAATATTTTAACAGAATGAAAGGTGCATTCTTTGAGACTGGACATAGAGTAAGCAGTTCAGCAATTTGATCCACCACCTTCTGTTTATGGGGAGTTTTTGTAAAATTGGAACCCTGTGAAAATCGAGGAGAATTAAGATAGTTAAAATCTTACAGAATCAGGCTCTTGTATTAGAACAGTTTTTACAGATGGGCTTAATCAGCAGAAGACTGCCAGGACCTCTAAACACAGAGGTTGTCAGAGATTCATTGCTGGGTCAGCTTTCTTGACTCTTCATTCTAATAAAGACAAAATGCCCCATGCCATTTTGAATGACAAGTCTTTTTGTAATCTTTGCTAATGGGGATTTATTGTGAATGCAGAATAATGAATTGAACAATTCTGAAGTCAGTTGTAAGCACAAAGACCTGTAATTAGTGCTTCCAGCTTCTGACTCTAAAAAATTTACAGTCATTGAGCTGGTATTCAAGCTTTCATGACTGAATTAAGATTAAATATATACAATGAGGTTGTTTTACATGTAAGGCAAAAATTAAAGTTTCTTTAAAAAAATCTTTTTACTCGTAAAATGTAAGAAACCATAACACAATTACTTATAGGCTATCACTCTAGATTTTTCATAATGGATATACAATTGGCCTCTCCACCCATGATAAAGGCCTTCTGTGGCTATGTTGTCAGAAAGATACATGTAATGGCTTAACATCCTTAGCAAAATGAGTAACATAGAAAACAAACAAACAAACAAACAAACACAAAATAAACACCCCCCCCCAAAAAAAAAAAAAAAAAAAAAAGTATACTAGTTTCTTGAAACAAATATATATATATTTTTTTTCAGATTATTTAAATATTTTTTTGCCATTATTACAGCCTCTACTTAGGACTATCATAAGAAACATCATCTTTTATACGTGTAACTATGTATGCAACATCTATATGCCAGCACAAGTTTAGAACAAACTGCATTCATGTTATTTTCATGATATCAAAATAAACAAAACAACCAAAAACCAAATTCACTAGGTCATAAATTATGTTCGGCTAGTGAAGTATGTTGATGCATGCAAAATTTCAGAAGTCTTTGTAAATGAGACCCATTAAGGTTTGGTATAGAACCAGGAATAAAACTGGCCTTGTGATAATGGTGATGGACTGAAATACAGCATTTAAACAATCTTTACAAAATAGAAATAGAAGCGTTATCAACCTAGTAAAAGAAACCCAACAGAACTGTTTGGTAAGCAAAACGCTACAACCGTTGTCTCTATTTTTCAATGCAGTTATCAGACAGAAGAGTCTAAGCATTACCACCTTTGATAACAGCAAAACAGGAGGCAATGCCTGTCTCAGAGACAGATAACTTCCCTGAGGCAGGGGAAGTTTAGGCTTGACATCAGGAGGGGGTTCTTCACAGAGAGGGTGGTTGCACACTGGAACAGGCTCCCCAGGGAAGTGGTCACTGCACCGAGCCTGTCTGAATTTAAGAAGAGATTGGACTGTGCACTTAGTCACATGGTCTGAACTTTTGGGTAGACCTGTGCGGTGTCAAGAGTTGGACTTGATGATCCTTAAGGGTCCCTTCCAACTCAGGATATTCTATGATTCTATGATTCTATATCAAAACAAGAGGAGATGAACTAAAAATTTCCATGATAAACGTGCTCTCCTTAGCCTTCTCACCTCCACTCTACTATGTGAAAACAATAAACAAGAAGTCTCTTCAAGGGGATTTCTTAATGTTTTTGTATACATGGAAAACTCAAAAGCAAGACCAAGAAAGTTTTCACCCACCTCCAAGAGCAGTCAAATACACATGAAAACTCCAAAGGCTTATGACATCTTCCATTAACAACCAACTTCTCTATGTGGCCCAACCCCCAACTAATTTGGAATCACAACCTAAAGTATTTGACTCATTAAACAGATTTTACCACGTTCACTGAGCTTAGTAAAATGTAATATTTTTTAGACTCATAGAATCATTTAGGCTGGAAAAGACCTCTAAGATCATCTAATCCAAACTTCAACCTAGCACATTTTGGAAATTTGATCAATAAAAAAGCTAACACATAATTTACTTAAAAGACTCCCTTTGCGAATTAACCAATGAATCCAAAGGAGGCACATGTAAGTGCCCTGTAAGTTATCATAGAATTATAAGTTATGCAGCAGAAAGTCTAAAGAAAAAGCCTGAATAAGTAAATTTTATCAAGTAAAATTGGCAAGCTAGAGATTCAATTTCCAAAGTGATAGCCTGTAACACAGTCAAATTGCCCCTTCCACAAATTAATTTGACATTTTGAAATATAGCTACCATTTTTTGCTGACCACTGGTACCTTGATAAGACAGAAGAATGAAATAATTTCTCATGTAATTGGATCCTGAACACGGTTCTACTGTATAGGTCATATGCATCAACTCAGTTTCCTAACATCTAAAGGAAAAGAGCTATTCCATATTAATTTACATTTACTGAATTATTCAAAATATGCTCTATGGAATTGCATAGTATAGATATGATGACGTCTACTTTAATATTTACTTCTATATTGTCTAGAATACCATTTTACTGTAAAGAGCTCAGGATACTAAAAAGCTAATGGATAGATTTATGTGCCAATAACATTAACAAGAATCAACACGGAGTAGTACACTGCTTCAGAGTACAGAAATCAGTTCAGAAATCAGATGCAAGAATAAAATGAAGCTTCATAATATCTGACCCAAAAGAAATTTTCACTTTCCTTATGATGTCATTCAAGTTTCATGATTGAATATAACATATAGATATATACAATACATCGTTTTTTGTATTACATTAATATACTGATGCAGTTTTACTCACACCACCAAAAAAACATCCGGCACCACCAACAAAAAAATCCTCACAAAACCACACCTAAGAGACCTATGCTTGTCTTGCCTCTCATTGCCTTTGCTCTGGGGAAGACATGCAAGCAGTGGGACATTCCAACTACAGAGAAAGTGCAGGGAATGCTGGAAGCTGCCTGTGATACTCGTGAACCACATATTCTCTATAGAGTGAGATGAATCAACTCAGTGCAAGAAGAAGGTAATAGAAGATAAGGCAGATGAAACTGGGTGAGATGACAGTGAAGAAATGTCCCCTCTGGGGAAACCAGGCGCTCATTCTGTCTCAAAATTCAGAAATAATATCTTTTAAAAATTTCTCTCACTCTAAGGCACTTTTTAATATACACTGGAAAGTTCTCAATTGCTCATAACATCTCAAGTAATTGCACCGAATCAAAAGATTCAGTGAAATGAGATCTCTCCCCACTGTTTGAAATATACAATCTTAATCATAAAGTATTATATATTTATGTATAATATGTATTTTTAACTCAATTGTAACTGTGAATTTCTGTCACATTGGAAAAGAAGTCTTCCCCAAAATGCTGCAGACATAATTTTATTAATTCAAAGTCTTCAGCTACTTCACACCATTGTGGTGAAGCACAAGCATGGTACATCATGAGCATGATGAATTTAAACTCAGGTCACATGAATGAATACAAGAACCTACATGTCAATCTCAATGCCAACAGGAAAAAAGAGCAGTTTTCCAGACAGCTGAATTATCAGCAAAATTTCTTCCAGGCTTACAGAGTAAAACAAAGATTCCTTGACCAAAATTCCTGTGTGATCTTCAATGTTCATTGAAGTGATGATATGGACTTGGGATATGACCTGGATCACACCTTTACAAAAGTTTTCACAGAACTGGTACACCTTAGGAAAAAGTGAGACAGGATCAATGTCTTGTTTCATCTCCACATTCCTGCTTTTGAGGGCTCTCTTTATAACAAACTTCCCCCCCCCCCCCCCCCAACCCCAACCAAATAGAAGGTCAAACGTTTACTAAATAATTTCACTATAATTTCTAGAAACACCTTTTTCATCTCATCATGTTGCTGGGTTAGGTTTGGTAAATGCAATAGAAACAAAATCATACTTGCCAATTCTCTTCTCTACCTTTCATCTTTCGCTGCACCAGTGTCCTTGAGCTCTTCTGCATTTCTTTTTCCTTACTCTTTCAAATGTAAAGCAAGATGTTTTATTTTTTATTTAGTGGTCATGAAAACATAATTTCTTGTAACTGCATAGCAATGTATGAACATATACTTTATCTAAGACAAGGCAGCTATTTGTTCTGTGTTACTTGATTCTTTATCACATAAAATGGACTAGGCATCTCCATAAGAGAAATATCTTGTAAAGCATGTTATACTACACTTCTCTTGCTATATTATTAAGGCATATATGTTACACATCTTTACTGCCAAGAACATCTTTGATATAACATAAACTACGTTGAATAGAAGAGACTAATGAAGTATGTTTGGAGTGATTTGTACAGTAAGTTCCTTCAGGAATTGCTCGAGTTTAAAATTGCTTTTCTTAATATAAAAGGGCTTATGGTGCTGTCATGAGGTTAATGGTTTTTACTGGCAAGTAATGTCACGTCATTAACATATCTCTGTATAAGTCCCACAGTTCATATGGGATGGCCTTATTTTAGGTTCATACAGCCTGGGGTTAATCTTTGATGATCCTCTTTATCTATCTGCCTATACACACTCAAAATTCTGTCTGTGATTATTGCTAACTTTTTCAGAAAAAGAGAATAATCATACTTCCCAATTAATTATTTTCGCCCCCCACCCAAAAAAAAAATAAATAAATTCAAGAAAGGATAAGGACATACCATTGAAAGGAGAGAAATTTGTTTGTCTCAGTTTTCCATAGATTTCTGAACACATGACGCTATAAAATCTAAATAGCTCACAGATTTTAACAGGTGCTTCACAGCACCATTGTGAAGCCAAACAGTGATATTATTCCCATTGTACATCTTGGGAACTAGAGCAAAGAGAAAATCTGTATGATTTTGTCATACCACCACAACAGAACAGGAGAGAATTCACGTCTTTATAGGCATTGGTAAGTGCCCTCCCAGATATCTAGCAAACTAGTTATCTGCCTTACCACATAGCAAGACAAAGAAGTAGGTGGAATCTTAAAGCAAAGCCCACAGAATGCCAGGCAAGTGAAACCTCACACATACAATCCTTAGTTTTACAACAAAAGCTTTCTGAAGAGGTGTTTTATTGCCAAGTCTCCACAACTTTTACAGAAAAGAGTGCGTAAACATATTACTTAAGTCAAAGGACAAACATGTACTTTACCACACATTCAGTTTCTCTCACACGCCTACCTGCTTTTCTTTAAGTCTTCATTATATAAACAGAACATACAGTGAAGACTGGGAAGCTTGCAGTTTTTAAGAGACATTGAGACCAGACCAAAAGCAGTCAGTTATATATGCAGACAGAAATCATCAACACCAACAAAAACCACATGAACTGCGCTGTATCATAGGACCCTAAAACCTTGCTAATAGACAGTGAGGGGAAAAGAAAAAAAAAAGATTGTATCAGTTAAGGGAGTCTGCCTTTTGTTTATCAGAGCTCATAATCCTAGACTTTTATTTTAATTTAGATTGCAATACCACATACAATCAGCAACAGATCTTCCATCAGGAGACCCACAACATGGCTGTTGCAACCCTTAGTTTTCAAGAACAAGAACAGCACTAAAAAGCTGCAAGTAATTAATCTTCCTATGTAACCTAGGATAATTTTAGTGTTCTGTCCATTACACTATGAACATTAAACTGTCTCTTCACAGACTACTACATAAAATTTAGATTTTTACATTTAATTTGGAGACTTGCAACTTTTAAAACTTGCACAAGTAATCCCTCTATGTTAAGACACAAACTCAGAAAAAATGTATCACTCTGTTTATCTCTTCTGTAAATCAATGAGAGAAAGAATGAATATAGTGCTCTTGAACAAAACAAATGCTTCCTACCAAAAAAAAAATAAATTAGAAAATCCAATTTTTTTCTGAGAGAAAAAGTTTGAATAAAAACTTTAGTATTTTCTAATCTGTTTTATATGAATGCTTCCACATGCTAAAGTTTTAAGTCTTAAACATTGAATGCTTTTTAATTTTGAGAATGGTATCAGTAATAACTACAGTTGAAATGACTGTGAACCTGATATATCTTTTTGTCTAGCATAACTCATCTTAGGTAACATTCAGCATAACATGGTCCATAAAGATATCTCCATTTTGAATTTGATACACTTTGTTCTAGAAAGGCACAAACTAACAGAATAAAGAAGTCTGAAAGACAGGTGAGGAAAGAAAGCATTTTACTGAGGACCTATCCTGACCCATGGATAGAAGAAGAAGAGCCCTTTATCTACAGGTTATTGTTTCACCCTTTACATCAGCAACAAAAGCCACAGCTGCAAGCTCTTAGGCAACATTTACGCCCCCAAAAAACTTGCACAAACAGTACATGAAAATTTAGTGCATCCAAGGTAAGCCCTCATTCAGGAGGCCTGAAAATGAGATAAATTTCTTGTGCTTTGTTTCTTATATCCTGTGAACCTACAGAGAGCAAAGCCACGATCTGTTATTCCTCTGGGAGGAAGTTTAAAAGTCAGCTTCAGACTTCAATGGAAAGCACCTGCTGTGTTTTTGCTCTAAAACACTTATCACATGAAAACAGTTTCATTGGATGTTTAAGGTGTAAGCACGCTGAGTAGAAACAACTCATGGCCATGTTTATTTTTGCTTAAACTTCTGATTACTTTTGCTTAATACAAAATTGGACTGCATTGCTCCTTTTGACAACCTGTTCTATTTTTCTTAGTGTATTAATCCAATTCATTTTTTGAACAAACTGAAAGTCTAAAGTTTTAATTTATGCCACATTAGTAGCAAGATTTACCCTCTTTTTTCACACACCATTGAGAAACATTTTCTTTGCCCCAATTCTTAAAAAAATAAATAAAAAATAATAATAATTTGTATTTTGAGATTATGTAACAAAATATTACTATAAAAAGACAAAAAGTGTGATGCTGAAAAAAATAAGTTGAGGGCTATGTCTTCTCAAAAGGTCTGTAAGACTTACGTACTCCATTCTAAAGCAGGTAAGTCAGGGAGAGCACATATCTAGCTTCCTTACTTCGTCTTTGAAAACATCACCTGTACCTTAACCACAAAATCATTAGTTTCATTGCCATGCAGTCATGAATCTGATAAGAGTGCATTGATGTGATTGATGTGATTTGATCTGTCCTTCTAGAAGCTCTGAACATTCTCTTGAAAAATCTTAAAATCTTGATTACTCAGTCTTTGAGTCTTCGGATTTTATTTATTTATTTTTTTGACTGTTGAACATTTACAGTTATGATTGATTCTTACCACTGATTCTATGAAGATTATCTGAAGGTTGCAGGACCTGTGCTATGCATCAATGTAGTAAGCAACACCTCCACAAGTTAAACTAGCCATGGAAGTATAAGAACAATATGGGCTCAGCTGCCTAAATAATAATTCCTCAGGATACCTGGAAGATTTTGTAGATCCAATCAATACTTACTGAAATTGAAATAAAGATACAGGTTCAGTCCCTGGATTTGAAATCAAGGAAGCAGGTTCATTCTGTCTGTTCAAGAGTTCTTCATCTGCAAGTAGAAGGGATATATCCTGATCATATGAATTTACTGTTTGTTTCTTATTATACAACACCTAAAGCAACTGAACACTTTAAATGCTAAGTTTACATGGTGCCCTGGTTTCAGTTAGAACAGAGTTAATTTTCTTCCTAGTAGCTGGTAGAATGCTATGTTTTGGCTTAGGATGAGAAGAGTGCTGATAACCCCCCGATGTTTTAGTTGTTGCAGAGCAGTGCTTATACTAAGCCAAGGACATCTCAGCTTTTTGCTCTGTCCTGCCAACAGGCAGGCTAGGGGTGCAGCAAGAGCTGAGAGGGGACAGACCCAGGACAGGTGACCCAAACTAGCCAAAGGGGTATTCCATACCATCTGACGTCATGCTAAACAATATATAGGGGTGGCTAGCCGGGGGAGGGGGGCCGGACTGCTCGGGGTTAGGCTGGGCATCGGTCAGCAGGTGGTGAGCAATTGCACTGTGCATCACTTGTTTGTACACATTATTATTAGTAAGACTATTATCATCATTGTATTATTATTATTATTATTATTATTTTCCTGTCTTATTAAACTGTCTTTATCTCAACTCACAGGCTTCACTTTCCGTTTCTCTCCCCCATCCCAGAGAGGGAGGGGGGAGGGTGAGCGAACGGCTGCGTGGTGTTTAGCTGCCGGCCGGGTTAAACCACAACACATGGCTAATGTTGCAATGGTATTAATGACATCATTTTAATTATTCAAATAACTCCGTTGGAGCAACCAGAACTTCAGTTTTTGGAATTGTTAATCAAGAGCTTTTCACCAACATTAAATTAATGAAGAAAAAATAATCTAGATATAACAAGAATGCTTACTCTCTTACTGAAGGTAAAATGAATCTAGGCTGTTTTCTTTCACTACGTCTACTGAAAGTAGCTCAAACATTTATCATTCACCCTGATAAATCTTAGAGGAAATCATAGGAATTTAAATATATATGTAGCCTTGTTTATGAACACCCAAGATTGTCTTCAAATACTAAAGATTTACAGAGATTACTATACTAGCTTATTTATTACTCAACTAATGATTTTTTACCTGGTCTGCTGTAAGGGTTCATAAAGGACTTAAAACCAAAGTTAATCTACAATACAGACAACAAACTTGAGTGGAGGAAAAAGAGGTAGACTAAAGCATAAAAAGTATGTGGATGAAGAAAAATAATCATGGAAGTTTATGCAATCAAAATCTCAGAAGAAAACTCTCCATTATATAGAGTATATTTATATACTCTAGTCAAAATAAATGTTAATAATACCTGAAAGCTTTTTCCTGGTTTTGATCTTCCTTTTCATTCCTGTTTTGGTGTCATTTGGTGTCACAAGACAATACCCTCTCTCTCTTCCTCCTCCCCTTTCCCCCTCCTCCCCCAAGTAAACAGCTAAGGGACCCTTTTGAGAGTAAATTTTGTAGTCAGTAGAGTGTGTCAGAAGATGCCTGACAGGAATATTGAATGCCTATTTTATTGAATAATACAATCAAATAAAGCAGTAATACAATGAAATAATATCAAGGATCAAGAATGCCTTCTTCTCCTTCAGCAAAGACTAATCTTCCTCACTTTGACTTAAAAAGTGAGGTAGGCTGGGCAAATTGTTGTCCCTCTCATACCAGACTGCATCAAAAGAAAGACAGATGTTCAAAGTCATATTTTTGCTCTAGATATAGCTGAACATTAATCCTGAATGTTACACTTCTTGGTTCTACAGTTTAAATTTTTTCCATTGGCTTTTACTGATATGAAGTACAGAAAGAAAAATTACTCAGGCTTCATAATTCTTCCTATGTTTTTACACATAGTAATCATTTGCATATAAATGATTATTGTATGAATTACCATAAGTTTAGAAATCTTAAAAGCTTCCTTAGACAAAAAAAATAAAAATAAGTAAAAAACAAAACAAAACAAAAAATTATAAAACTTAATAAAGACTGAGTTAATAGCTGAACATCAAGACAAGACAGAGTTAAAAAGATAAAGGTGTCTTCGATCTCAGTGTAACATTAAACCATTCACGACATAGATGGTTTAGTACTGTGGGCCAACTTTTTAGCTGAATCACAAGTTTATTTCATGATTTAAAGAAAAAAACTAATAGTTGTGTGTTGTAAGTTTTATATTTCTCTGGGATTTTTTTTCAGCTTTATTCAATGAGTACTAAGTAACATTTTATTTTATTTTATTGTTTTGCATTTAAACAGTCTTTCTGCTTTCTAGCTCTTTAAGATATTCATTCATAATTGCATAGACTTTTTTCCCATTTATGCTTGTACTGTTGTTCATAGCTGGAGTGTGTTTTCTTCTTTGACTAATATCTGTTTATCTGTTGCTCTTTTGCTGGCTCGCTGTTGATGAGATTTTCTTCCTCCATTTCTTGCGGCCTATTTTCAATGCAACAAGCACTGGTTAAAAATTTACATATTTAGCAATCCTTATATTGCATAAACGTTTATGAGTCAAATCCTCAAAAATGCTGTGGGCTTACAGAAAGAGCCCACAAGAAGGAGAAGGGGTGTTTTTGCCAGTATCCTTACCATTCAGGGCAATTAATGCCAGGGAAGTGAAGAAAATGAGGAAGTTCTTCAAGCATTTCATTGTCTGGAACTAGGGAGCCTCAAAGACCTGAATAAGCTAAGACCAACTTTTGCAATGCCTAATTGGAGAATATATATTTTTCTTTCTAGGATTTCCCAAGGTTTCCTACTTGATTTTTTTTTTTAATTCTATATGAAAAGGAAGAACATAATGAACAAGCAGAACTAGTCTTAGGAACAGATTACGCTGTAGGAAAGAGAAATGCAAATTCTTTCAAAGAAATATACTACCTTCCAAAATAAGCAATAGTGAATATTAAGCAGCTATATATTGCTTAGTGACATGTGGTGGACTTGGCAGTCCTACGATAAAGGTTGGACTAGATGATCTTAGAGGTCTTTTCCAACCTAAATGATTTTATGATTCTAGTTCAAATTATCAGAGATGTCTAAGATCTGAATCCAAATTGTCCCTTCCCAAAGTAGTATCATAATTATAGATTTAGTTTTGGTGTATGGGACACTACCACTCCTTTTTATTAGATGCAATTCCACTTTTCATGGAATACATGAATATTTTTGCCAAAGATCAAACTCTATAGCCTAACCAATAATCAATTTACCTAACTGGACATCTGAACATGTCCTGCTTTGAAGAGGTAGCGAAGTATTCCTAATAGAAAAAATCAACAAAATATATGGAAAGTATCCCAACTCCATACTACTCAAAAGCATTCTAATTTAAGTCAAGAGGGTGGACATGGAAGATGTCTTCCACAACCCGAGTGAGTTTCCAAGCTACTAAACTAGTAGGTGAAATCCAGTAACTGATCTAAAGCTGATGAAGTCCTAATAAAGTCTTCGTTTCCCTTGCCTTTCCTTCTACTGAAATTTGTTGAAATAAAACGTGCTCTCCTCATCTTAAATAAAACCTATTTTCTGTATAAGGCTAGTAAAAAAAATATATATACACACACATACATGCATATATACTTTCTTTAAGGTAGAAACATCCTCTTCCTGCCCAGAATTCTTCACCTATGAGCTCACTCTCACAGAAAACTATATCCGTCCTGTAGTCCTAGTTAGACGGATCAGAACTGAGTGTGGTTCAGAAACTGTCAAAGAGAGATAGTTTTACATGTAG